AGCAGGAATTGTGGAGGAACTCAAATACATTGTGCTGTTTTGAAAACAAACAGTACCAAAACATTGATAAACGTGATATTGCAGACTCCCTCATTCCCAGTAATCTGTTTAATCAGTGCATAAATAACTTGAAGCAGCATGAACTGTATAATGCAAACTGCCTCAAGGAAAAAAAATTGTTACCATAACTCTGGCAACACAAGCCCCACTGTCTGGCAGCGTTACGTCCTTCAACAGATTCTTATTCCATCTGCTTGAAGCAGAATCTTGTTCTAAAGGCGTAAGAGGGGGAAGAACGGGTTCCGACTGAGCCCTTCCTTTTCCCCAATTTTGCACTGCTGTAAAGTGTTGCAAAGAATTGTAACTTTTGCTAGGCTAGACCCATGTGTTCAGATATCCTAGAAAAAGCAACCAGCACCCCTCCTTCAACTCCCCCCCATTCTCCAGAAAAAATCTATATGCGACTCAAAGTCAGGAGATTATTTTTCTTTACCAATCTGTTTTCTTCACAAAAATTTTGCTGAGGACATGCTCAATACAGTGATACATTTAACTTTTTTTCTCTTGTGCTTTACAAAAGAGTTAGAATGTGTATCTCTGATATGGTTTAGCTTTATTTCATATACCTCTAAAGTATTTTTTATTTATCATCTTCCTGTAGAAAAGAATTCTTGTCACTTCTTCACTCTTTTATCACCTTTCACAAAGACTATATTCAGATTCATTACTCTTTACTGAACTCATCTAGGTTTATGATATTCCTTTAGAGGAACAGCCATAGCTAAAAACTGTCTTGTAAAATAAATTATACCATTAATTAAGACAATAAATCACAATTCCATGAATTTATATGCACAGCATGATTTTCTATCACTCTTTCAATACTAGTAACTCTTCTCTCTCTTTTTTTTCCAAGTAAGGTCCAAACCACTTAGCTGAACCCACTACGAAGAACAGGTTTAACTCCTTGAAGAAGTCTATCAGATAGTACTAAACTCACTTAGAGCACATCAAAAGGTATATATTTTTCTAAATTATGCCGTTACTTTTCTGCCAGTAACGTACCAAATTGTCCAAACTTATATTCAATTTTCTGACTCCACGTTTGTTAAAATAATTTCTATGCAGATAATTGGAACTATTCAAAATAATGAACCCTGCATGAAATTTGTATTAACTGTACGCTTTCATCAGTTATCTCGAAATCATTAAAGGCTCACAGCAATGCAATGAAATGCAACAGCAATGGAAATCCTAAATATAATAGCAAAATGTTAATCAATAAAAATCTTAAATCCAAATAAAAATCTTCATACAAATGATTTCTCAATGACAGTTCAAACAATAGCTTACTACTCCCTTTCACAACCCAATACCAACCAATAAAAAATAGTTATTTCAGTGCAGCAGAGATATATTTTTTCATTTCCATTTTAAAAAAAGAAAAAAAGTCAAGAGTTTAAAGATAAAGTCTAACAAATAGCATGCCAGAACTGCAGTACCGCTAAACAAAGTCGCTGTCTTTCTTTGCAGTGTATACCAAAGGCACGAACAAGATCTGTACTTTCTGCATTTGTGAAACTGAACACAACGATCTTCAGGCTTGCAGAAATATCAGAGAGACAAGCCTGAACTTGCCACTGATGTGCGGTTGCCATGATAAGGATTACTGCCAACCCTCAAAACACAGCGAACAAAACTTAATATGAGTGTTTAATGCCTTAAATGGTGAACATCTAATTTAAACTTTTGTGCTGCCACACTTTAATACATCTACCACTAGTCACTTACTAATTTTACAGTTTACACTTACTGTAAATTTTTCTTCTTCTTGTAAAACTGAATTGGCAATGTTATCAGCATGGTATTCGCTACAAAGTTAATTTGTATGTCTGAAACTGCTCGCCAATTAACATGTAGGTAATTGATGATGTAGTTACTCAAACATATTAACCAACTTGGCAATAGGAAGACTCATAGAGTCCTTTTTGCACGTTGTCAACTGTCCAATCTACCCACAGAAGTGAGAATTTTTTAGAAGGAAAAAGAAAAATGTGTGATTTTTCAGACTGACCTACTTAGTCTCTCAGCTGCTTAACTGTGCTATAGAAGTAAAGTCCTGACTGACTGGAAATACAATACAGTACAGTACTAACTCTCCTCTGGACTCAGTGGAATACGAACAGATATTTCATACTACTTGAGTGTGCTATTCTGGACTGAAAAAAAAAAAAAAGATGAAAATCATACTGTGTTTCAGGGTTCCCAGCAATATACTTGTTCAGGACATACTTCTCTTCCTCAGTGAAGTGGAATTTGCAGACTATTGGAAAAAGGCATCTTCTACGTAACAGACAGTGATGGGTACAGCGCCTGTGCAATACCACACCTTTCTTGATCTTTGTACAAAGATGTGATGGTGAGGTTCAGTAATAATGCCAGGAACTTTTCCAAAAGGAAGCTGCTGGCAACCCTCTGCAATGTGGTACAGTGTAGAAAGAAAGGCTAATCTGTATTGAACAAAATTAGTGCCAGGTAATTGGATATTGTGACAGTCTACTTTGTCCTATCCTCCAAAGCAGCCAATTAAGGAAATCACAGCACACTACAAGAATCTTAACACTGCTTTACTTTTAAATTGGAAAAAAATTTCCAAAACCCACGAAAACACCCACAATATACCCTAAAACCAAAACAAAATTCCTCTTATCCCTTTCCTTGTAGAAATTATTTGTTTTCTTCTACTAGAAGTTCTTATGAAAAAATATAAAAAGTCTCTGGAAATTATTAATGGAACTGAATCTACAAAGATGTTCCTTCACTGAGAAATATAAATCTTGTCTTGTATTTTCCTCAACACACTATCTCACTTATACAGAATTCCCAGTGAACGCTCATCTAAGCAGTACCTGACTAAAGGCCTAGGTATGCAGAAACTCTTCAAGACCCAGGTTTGATGATGAAAGACTTTAGACTATATGCAATAGTTAACTTACACCTAAAATAAGGATCTAATCTTGTTCCCTCCTCTGGCTTTTTCTCCCGTCAGTCATTATCAAGAAAAACTGCTGAAATCCTCTATTACTCTTATTAGCTTTGAAGCTGCTCTTACGATAAAGGTTATATATACACTGCAATATATTGTCTGTTCATTGCATTATTTCTACGGAAGGATACTAACAGAGGATCCCCTTCGTGTTCCAAAAGAATGAGAGTCTTCAAGACAGTCATTTATATATACACTGCTACGTCTAGAATGCAAGAAAAAAATCACCCTTGCAAGATAGGCACATGCAGACCTATTTAGTAATGCATATGGTTATTTGATACAGTTGCCGTGTGCTCATTTTTTAAACAGGTAGGGGGGGCAAAAAGGCTACCAAAAGAATTAGAATGCTATCTGTGATACTAGCATGAAAGTATTCATGCCTAGTGTTTTATGATAAATTTTTACTAGGTTGTAGGAAAAAATTCATCAGTGTTGCTGGAAACTTAGGAGGAATGTAAATATTCTTAGTTCCTAATAAATACACATATATACCTTATGTTAATTAAAACAACAATATGAATTCACTACAATTCTAAGCTACTTTTTCCTTTGCAATTACAGCATAAATCTCCACAATACCGGAAATTTTTTAGCAATATTCCACATAAAAGCTACCAAACTATTTGGAAACATAGCTTACCTTAGAAGTGTGGTAAAAGATACAGCTGGGGAAAATTACGACAGAACAGATTCCTTTGGGCTGTTCTGAGAAGGCCCTTTCTCCAAAGGCATTTCTGAATTCAGAAATGCCTGCGCTATTCAGTGTTTAAGGATTGATGTAACACAATGACTAAGAAAACCAGGTTTGCAGTATTTAACCCCTTTCAAATCACTGACCTTTTGCATGAACAAACAGCACCCAACAAAACTGGAAAACTTCAGTCACAGTGCATGGTTGTCGTCTTTCGGGAAAAACACAGCAAGAAGACAAACAATAAGTTCAATGAATAAAGACTGATAGAACATCATAAAACATTCAATCATTCTGAAAGAAAATGCAGTTTTACTATAGTGTGGCCAAAATCTTAAACCCTTCCCACAAAAACCTGACTAAAGGTAATAAAGAAAGCTGCACACTGGTTTAGTGCAGACACAAGTGGAACCCCAGTCTCAGCATGCATGTAATGATTCAAACGTCACTACGGCAGTACGACACAGCAGATTCCACTAGAAATATGGCAAGACTTGAGCAGAAAATGACTGTAAATTTAACATTAAACATGGCTGGCCTAAATGTTTTCTTTTAAGGCAAAATGGTATTCCAAAGAACAGGTAAATATTTGCATTTAAAATCTACAGAAAATTTTATTTGTGCTTCTTCATACAACAAATAGAAATCGAGAAAAGGAGGCTGAGAGGAGACCTTATCGCTCTCTACAACTAGGACGAGACGAAATGGCCTTAAGTTGTGCCAGGGGAGGATTAGATTGGATATTAGGAACTATTTCTTCACCAGAAGGGTTGTCAGGCATTGGAACAGGCTGGTGCCTGAGTCACCACCCCTGGAGGTATTTAAAAGACATGTACATGTGGTGCTTAGCAGTAGACTTGGCAGTGCCAGGTTAACAGTTGGACTTGGTGATCTTGAAGGTCTTTTCCAACCTAAACAAATCTATGATTCTATGAAATAGTTTGTGAGCCAGAGCTAAAATTCCTTCTCCATAAGTATTCTGAGTAATATAACTACATATACATACTCTTGGAAGAATGCATTGCACAGCGTGTTGATATTAACATACTCAGTGCAGGCAAGATTTTCAGAACTGTGTGTTCACAAGAGTGTCATCCATGTACTAATGTAACACATTCTGTACAGCATTTTATACTGTATACAGAATTTTGACATATATTAAATGTTATTCAGAACCAAGTTCCTCTGGTCTTTGTTTAAAATGCTTTCAAATAAAATTCATTCATGAGGCCTCTTTTTTCACTGCGTCTATTTAAAAAAACCCACCACCAACAAAAGAACAAACCCACACAAAAAAACCTCCCCTAGCACCAATTTTTATAAACTCCACAACATCATTCCTTGCTTCCATATAACACTGGAAGTGTTATTTCATATGTTGTTGCTCATCCTCCATCAGGTTATGTGGGGAATGATTTTAAATGTCAAAACTAACGTACATTTCACACAAAAATCAGCAAGTATCATCTTCCAACTTAATCTTCAAAACTACTTCACAACTTACCATCCAAGCCAACCAACTAGCAGGGTTTACTCTTCCAATCATAGATTTAGTATACAGTATATTTTAATTTCAACATTATACGTAAAAATTCATCTCAATACATAATTCTATTCCATCTATAGCCAATTCCAATGTACTCACCTTTTGCATTCTCCAACAAAATCATTTAGGCACAATGCTGTCTTTTATTACAGATTCAAATACATTTGGTTACAAATGTCACTTATGTTCACAAGAACATCAAGGGGGGAGGGGAAAAAGCCAAAAAACCCAACTAAGAAATAGCCTATAAATATTAGAAACAAGTAAAAGAAGTCAAGAAACAAAACCAAAAAACCCCAAACATAAATGCAAGCAATGGCACTTCACAGTGGTAAAGATGAAAGAAATAACGAATGGGAATAAATCAATCTCTAACAACTACCACGAGAAATCACAAGCCATGCTAAGTGCTGGCACAAACAGACAAAATCTTGTTAAGATCAAAATAACCAGAAAAGAAAGCTAGCTCTTAATTTTCACAACACTCATAATATGAACAGTAACAAAGAAAAAAAGCTTCTACTATAACGTAAAATACCCCGAAGATCTGCATCTATCCAGAAAACTATGGGAATTACTAGGCAGTGCAACAGGCTGAGCTGTTCTACGAGCTATTGAGGCTATACAGATCATACAATGACCAAGTTCATCCAGCCCTTCCCATCTTAGAAATAGTAATATTTCTCTTGTCTACAGGCTGATTTTATTTTCTCCCCTTTCCCCTGCCTCCCAAAATCATAGAAACTTAGCAGCTTTGGGATTCTCTGCACCCTCTCAGATCTGACAAACTGAAAAAAAGATGTAAAAATTACCGCGAGCAAGGACAGACAGACCAAATCTGATATTATAAAGAACTGCTATGAAAATACAGTCAAAAATACAACCAAACCAACTGAGCAACTTCATTATATTTTTCTAACAGTAACACTCTAAAATCAGTCTGGAAATAACAGAAACGTACCTCTGTTTTCTTCCTCTCTGTTGACGAGGTTGATCTTCTTGAGGATATCTGAAAATGTCCTGAAAAATGGGCTCATATTTCTTAAAAATTACTGCAGAAACTGTAAAGTTTCTCTCTAATCTCTCAGTTCGTTCTCTGAACTGGGAGGGTAGATTTGCCATGTCTTCCCACTTCTTCATCTTGTTAAAAAACTCGATCAAGCTGAAAATACCAAATGGGTTAGATCTGAACGTGGGTGGTGGTTTTTTGTTTGTTTGTTTTCCAGAAATATTCATTTTCAACAAAAGTGCAACTTCTACTTCCAAACTACTGATAAGATGGCGGTATTACAAACATGACAACATAGTCAGAGCCAGTCCTTCACCCATAAACAAGGATTAGCTCAGACAGCTTGCAAAATATTTTTATATCCTCAGTTGGTGACCATGTTAACTATATATTCACAGTTCTGGCTTTTCCTCACAAAGACACAATTGGCTCCAACAGTCAGATTACTCTAAAATCAGATTTCCCTTGTTTTTCTGAATAACTTATTAACTTACATTCAATTCCCTGAATTTGAGGGGGGTGGGAAGTTGTTGAAGGAAGACTTTTGTATTGTTTAAACCAATAGCAATGCTCCAACAGTAAAGGAGATGGGGAGAAAAAGTGCATAAGAACATTCTTTTTTCCCCCCAATCTACTAAACTGTTATAACACAATCAGATTGCTAACAAATAAAGCCAATTGTTTTAGGAAGTTTTTCATCATTGCTTTATTGACATACACATTTGATACAAATTTGTTTATCAGATTCTGACATCACTTTGGTTTCATAAAGCAAGAACATGTGAAAAGCGAAGTCTTCTTAAAAGAAGGTAAATTGTGTGAATATTTTCACAGCCAATTAAAGTGATTTCTCATGTAAGAAGTTCACACTTTGCACACTCTTCAAAACCAGACTATTCTTCAAGGACTGGTTTCTTTCTGCTTTGAGAGAAGGAAGTCAATCTCTGATTTTGAAAACCAGTGTTTTAACAACAACCAAACGGAACTGTCCTACTTGTGTGGCAATGAGCTACAACAGATTCCAGCGATATAAATTCTATTTTTAAAAGCAAGAAACAAGACAGATGTTTAGCCTTTGTTCTCAATTTCTAAATTTCACAAGCTGATAAGGAGTCTGAGATTTTGTAAGCATTTAAAAGTTAGCAAAAAGAAAAGTTACCTTTGTTCTGAACAGCGCAAAATTCTAGTTAAAGATACGTAATTTCCCTCAGCTGTCCCTCTGCTCACAGTTGGAATTGCTTTTCTGCAAGCCACATACAAGGCACACGCTAGCCAATGCAGATCATTTCCCTGTGAATTAAAACATCGGGCATCTAAAAGACTTCATTGAAAAGAAAACACCACTTTTCAGCTATGCAGCAACATCAGGAGAAAGGGTAGAGCTGTCCTCTAAACAGTGACAAAGTTGATTCCTTGTTTCAAAGTTCTGTTGAACTACTTTGTGTTTTCAACTAGGAGAACAACAGGTGCTAAGCAGATACTTAACATTGAACTGTGTCAAAACTAAAGTTAGGTAGTTACTAGCTACTTTTATAAACACTTGATCCAAAGTTTAACAATGTATTTTCAGTGCTGCTCTTTTCCTATACTAACTTTTTGTACTGCCTTGGTGCTAAAAAAAAAATATATATAAAAGCTGCAGTTCCTTGCTATCAGAATATTGTTCTGCCCTGAACAGACAGTGGGAACAAAAAAACACAGTTTGTCTGTATTACGCAATAGAACAGTTACTCAATCTGGTACCTAAAACCAGAAATTAATTCCAACTAAAACCCTTTAAATCTTATTCTCCTTTTTCGATCAAAACCCAACGTTTTAACAGGAAAGGGACAGTAAAAAAGGGAGCACAGAACACTGCATGCGATGCTGTGGGTTTCTTGGGCTGCGCAGTATTACGGGGCCAGATGAGCACACACCGTGGGGGAAAAAGCAAGTTTTCTGCCCGAGCTGCTCAGCCCGTTTCTGGGACCCGAGGCAGCGTGGCGGAGATGCTTTCAGAGCCCCGCACAGCCCCGGGTACCACGGCACCCGTGCGAAGCCGCCTCTAGCTGCACCGAGAGCTGCCTGGGTACGGACAGGGAAGCCCGAAAGAATTCCCAGTAACTCTACACAGGCGTGCTTTTGTCATAAGCGACACCGTTGTTATTAAAAACGCACCCGGTAAAAGGCATCCTCCAAACAAAGCGGGTGCGTCACTTGCTGTCGCCGTGTTAAAGAATGATGTTACGAAACGTGCAGGCCTTCAACCGTCCGCCAAGTTTTGTGCCACGTTCACGCAAAACCCGATTTATTATAACTGCGGGCAACTGAACAACTGCTGACAAACGTTCACCGAAGCAACTGTATTACGTTTGTCAGCTAAACAGCTGAAGGGAGAAAGCCTTCAGCGATACGATCGCTTTTATTTTTAACGCCTTTTCAGCGGGATTAGGATTTTTTCCCCATTTCGGGACTGGAGAGCACTGCTGCGCGGCCGCTCGCCTGGCACCC